ATAAAATATGTAGATGATGTTGCAATTGCTCGGGTTCGATCGGGCACAATATTAATGTTTTATTTTTAATTCTTAGTTACTACTAAGAATTGGCCGGAGTCTGGAATGGTGGCCGGTATATAAATAGGCTCACCCCTTAATACATGGGACTCATAACATAAATAGTGAAAAGTGAGTGTTACATTGTGCAGTGGTATTAAGTGCCGTAATGTACACCTCTGTGGGACGGGATAAAAAGGCGTGATTATGATGATATTATAGAACTACCTCTTTTGACTTGTCGTTTCATAATATAGACTAGGACATCTCTAATAGACATATGATCTTACTGAATACTGGATTGAACCCACCATTCATTCTATAAGATATAATTTCAAATTAGTCAATGAAGCAGTTCTAAATTTTGTTATAAGCTTACACTACTAAAAAGCTGGTTTCTCTTCGATAAAGAGATGAGAAATCTTCTTCGATTCTATTAGCATCATAATAACCTATCTGGTTAGGATTTAAGACATCACAATCAATTTGAAAATATTTACTTAGGCCTACGTAAAGTATGTGTATTATTAGGTTAAATCCTTTATATTTTCCCCCATTCTTTATAGCTATTAACTCATATACCAAGCTCAGGTACTTCGAAGAAAAGAACAAGTGACCTACTATTGTACCTATTCTCACTAAACCAGTAATCATCATTCATTAATCACCAAACATCGAGGTTACTCATACAACAATACTTTCTGACGAGACACAATCGAGACACATGACAATAGTATGACAACAGAGTGACAATAATGTGACAATAGTGACGATAGTTTAACAGCTGTGATTAATTCGTCACATTAGTTTGAAACTGTGAAGGTTGGGACCTTCGAAATTGGTGATATGAAAGGAGGATCACCTGACACTGATCTAGTTAATCATTGAAGATAATGTTGTAATTCGATCTTTGTTTTCGCTTATTGTCGTATATGTGTGAAATTATTGGTTATGTGAGAACACTTATTTGAAGTCAATTATTTAGTCAATCAATTTTAAGTCGCATTTAAGCTTAGTTCTGAAACTACAAATTCTTTGTAAAATTACAGAGATGGCAGGATATTTATGTGCAACTCAAAATTTAGTAGCCTTTTAGAATTCGGGCGTTAAACATTTTGTATCATTTGACTATGGTTGAATTTGACAGATATCATCATACTATTAGAAGAAAAGTATTAAAAAAGAGCTGTGGAATGATCTGTCATCGTCGGTATTTCCGAACCGATACAACCTTCAAACCTTCAAGAAAAGAGCGTATTCTTTTTTAAAAGGCCGGCAACGCACCTGTCCTCTGGTGTTGCGGGTTTTCATAGGCGGCTCTGGTCGCTCACCATTAGGTGATCCGTCTGCTCGTTTGTCTCCTAATTCATAAAAAATAGAGCTATTGAAATGTTATGATTCTGTTTCTAGGAAAAAATGGGACCATTTTGTATATGCATAAGAAACAAGTTTATTTGAATCATTTTATCATCTAAAACCCGTGATGTTCTGTTCTTGCTCCTTTCAGCTCTTGTGATGCCCGTTGGAAGAGTTATAGTAGACAAATTATTAATATTAATATATAATAACATCTTAGAATAAGGCCGTTTTTTTTACTTACTCATGCTTTTTCTACTTCCAGCAAATATACAAATCATAACGACCTTTTGTCCCGAAGGAATAGACAGAGGTGCACATTACGGCACTTAATGTCACTGTATAATATAACATCCACATTTCACTATTTATGTTATGAGTTCCATGTAATATGGGGTGAGCCTATTGCCATAACTGGACCCAATTCCGGACTCGTGCTGCAACTGAGTATTTTTTTAAACTAGTAATACTTTGCCGACCGGGAATCGTATTTGCACCACTCGGCCAACGAGGCAGTCATATACAAAACTGGCCGTAGTTATTACGTAAGGAAACTCATTGAACTCACAGTCTCCGTTTTAATAGACTCCATAGCTTTGCAAGTTCTATTTTCGTATTTACGCGAATCTAACAGTATTTTATGTAAGTGTTTACTATTCATCGGGCGACAAAATCTTCGCTTATGTATCATCAAACAAAATCACCGTATTTCAACATTTGCTTGAGTAGTGAATGTAAATCTGAAATCAATTGAATGTGTTACTTGTTAAATTCAATTTATATGTCGGTGTACTTAAACATATGTAACTAATGTTTAAAGTAATATCGATGCAATGATTTTTAATGCATTTAGTCCAAGGTTTGTTGTTATTTGTTTAACTCTTTCGATGAGATACTTCAAATATTAAGTAAGTAAATTAGATTAAGGCAAAATGTCTAGACTTTTACTATATTCTACAATCAAGTACAAGGGGTAGATACCAATCTAATATCATCAATGTCATATCATCAAAGGTGAGATGGACCGAGTACGAACCCTGAGAACTCCTCAGCTCCCTTGATAAAAACAAAACTATCTTTAAACTTGATTAATTCAAATTCATGTAAACACTAGGAAATATATTAAAAATACTTCCTTGAGACTAGAAATAGAGAAACATGAGTTACAAAGTGTTGGCTTTCGAGCAGAAGTTGATGGTTTATTCAAGATACAAGTCAGATTAACGCAACGCTTTCGTTTACGCGACGCGCATACAAGATGCGTGTGAAGATTAGTGCTGCGGCCTTTTTGTAGTGAGGACTTATGTGCATGTTGATCATGTTGTTTATTTTTAGGTTTATGTGTTTGCTTTTAATAAGTGATGTGTATTAGTAAACCTATTTATTATTCTTTCTTCCTAAGTTTACCTTTCACTGCAGTCTAAGGTATTGCTTTGCTGTTTAAAATTTTGTTTTGGCTTTCTGTTTTAGGTTAAACCTACTAAACATAACATAATTTGCCAAATAATATTATTTGGTGATTATAAGAGTGTCAGACGAGTGCTATGTTTAAAAATAGGTTAAGAAAATATGTATCTGAAAATATTTACTAATACCGTTTGGTCATGACTCTGTATACCTAGCTATAGTTAGTCATTTAAGCTCATTGTAAGTGAACCATATTCTTTATGAGTGAATAAAAAATCATTAAACTGAAACTGCCGCTAACACGCTGAAGACTTCGACATAGTATTTTTTCTTTATCTCTGTACTCCAAAATACAAAGAACCACTATTTCTAAATAGTGGTATCGATTTGATTACTTCTTCCTTAACGTCCATTTGCAAAATCAGTTCAAATCTAGCTCCATAAATAGTATCACTAACTGAAACATATTGACAAATTAGCGACAAGGCAAAAAATAATCAATAGATGCTCCAATTAAAGCGTGGCCGAATGCCTTACATAATGATTCAGAGTTCCCACAAATAATGATGTAAGTGCGTTCGGCTGTGTCTGCCGATGTTTGCAACGCCCACTTTTTTGTATAAATGTCAATGTCGCTGTTAGTCACGGGGAATTGACGGAGGCAATGGACGTATTAAATAGAAGTTTGTCTATTTTCAATTCAGAAGCAAATTGGATTAGTTGATTGGCTGGTTAAAACGCATAAAAAAGGAAAAATTTAGTCATATGCTTACAATATTCCGTGGGGCATAGAGTTTACGGTTATGTCCCCTAGAGGGCAAACAGATTTTTTTTGTAAGAATTAATAATCACAGTCACACAGGGAACGTGTTCCTGATGTCTCTGCTATGCAATTTGTCCATGGTTACGGTAAACGTTTTCCATCAGATAGCACAGTAAGCTTTACATAAACACTGACATTATTTTGATAAGAGACAATTAATAAAAACATCGTGTCGCTTTTACAAATCGGTTTTTGCAGAAACGTTCGTTACCAGCAAGTAAAAAGTGATGTTTTATGGAAATACCCAGACGAAGCTTCGTGCTCTTTTAGAATGCAAGTTGGTAATAAATAGAGAGAAATACTGAATTGATTGTGGCAGGGTTTTTCCTACACATTGATTTAATAATTGCAGTGAAAGGTAGAACAGACATAGTAAGTATTATACTGTCAGCACGAGTCTTGAAGAATGATTGTGAAGTTTTTTCCACTAGCAAATGTCTTACAAGTTTTTGGACGTCGATCAATCGTATATTATACCTTATAATCTTCTAATGAAATTTGCTAACACTTAATTGGAATAAAAAACCCGGAAATAAAGGTCAACATTTAATACTGTTTCGGATCTTACAGCATCAGATACCAAACTTGGTCGATAATAAAGATAATTTTGTGAACGTCATTTGAAATTATGAAGTCTTCATTCTCAGTATTTATTATACCAATTTCAAATGTAAAAGGTTTGCGGTTTCTAGTGAAGATTGCAGTATCACCATAAAGTATGATGTCCGGATTTAGGCGTGTCCCTAGACATTTGAGGTTATGTAAGCCTTTTATCGGTATCGTCAATGACATTCATTGTTAACTGCCTTTGAAATTTCATCTACAAATTATTGGTTGTCTAAAACTGATACAATAATGTTTTTTTCTTCGTTATACTTGTGGACTGACATACATATTGAAAGTGCGCTTTACAAAGTTAGATTTCTCTCTCAGTATTATTCTACCATGAACTCTATTGACTTCCATGGGAACTTCAACCAGTACAAGAATAAGTTCCCGAATGACCTATCTACAAGAGGTTTCTTAAGTTCTAGCATAGTGTACTTCATAAAAGTCGTAGTCAGCCAACACGCATTGAGCAACCGTCGTCCCAATCTGCATTGAGCAAGCATGGTGATTAAGCCCAAACCTTCTCCGCGTGAGAAGAAACTTAGCTCAGCAATGGGCATATATAGGCTGTCTACGTAATTGATGATCATGCTCAGCTGGTAAACGTCCATTTCTGAATAACAACTTGACTCCTTACTTCCATCCAATGGCTCCCAGAAACCTAATGACATCGCCAGTCCTATTATATGTCTATATAGAGTTTATAACTGCTTTCCATCATCCAAGCGATTAAAATAACTTACCATCTATTTAATCCTTGTTACAGATAGCCTGGTTATCAATCCAGAGCGGCGACGGGTACAGCTGCCCCTACGGCCAGCACTGTGCCCTAGAACCGGCTCCACCAGGCAGGACTCCGCCCTGTGCACAACCCGGGCTTACTTACTGTGTGCACCCTGATCCTTACCCAGAGTAAGTAGTAATTATGTGTACTTATATTAGTCATCCAATTGCAGCTACAAGACGTCCACTATCGAAGTATCGAACATTTGCCTACACCAATGACCTCCAAATCGGTCGGCTGGAAAGAACCTGTAGCCATCAACTCTGTGACTGTACTTAATACTTTTATTAACTGAACGTGGAAAGGATATCAGCTTCAGTGGTGGTCGAAATTACATAGTGACTATTCTTTAAAAAGGTTGTCTTTATAGATTTTGCACCGTTGTATGTCAATGTGCTAATGGTTACACATTAATATAAGTTTGCTATTGGTTAAAAGGTTAATTGGGTATATTCATTAAGTACACTCACTTTGTAGTCCAACACAGTTTTGATTGCTCTAATCTAATTCGTTACTTATTTCTTCTTCCAGGAAAATAATCCGCCAGCTCATAGAAGCAGGACAGTACGACATCAGCACTCTTCTGTCGGATGAAACCCGTGACGAATTTTCGTTAAAAAAAAACGACTACCCTTACGATTACGGGCCCAATTCACTGCCCCACGTCGACCAGATCTCCTTGGTCAATGACCCTCATTATCAAAAAAACTACAAGTTTCATACGAGGTATAATCATGGTAAGTTCATTTAAAACTGTGTTTAATTATTATTAAGCGATAATGAACCTTATAGGTCAAAAGATAAAATGTTAAACTTAAATACTAAGTCTGTTTTTATTCGTCCTCTGATCTAGTCTATGAGTGTAAAATTAACTTTAGAGTATCTTATTTTCCTGCTTTTGCGTGGGTATACTTATCTGAATAAGTATTTTTTATGGAACAATTTTAAAATTCTTCTCACCAGTAACCTATTTAACTCGTTGAGTACCGTCATTATGGACACAATTAAAGAACAATAGGTTGCAGTCACCGGTGACCGCTCGGTGTTTGACAGTTTAAATAATCCCAGAAAACAGGGAGTTATTTGCCCTGCAGTGGGACGATCATGACTACAAAATAAATAAATAATCCCAGAAGTCGAATAAATAATGGTAAGTTATAGTAATGGTAGTCTTAAGAACAGAGTAACAGACAGGCTGATTTAGTGTTTCCGCGTTTCCTAATGTCTGTCGATCGTGTGGGTGTATTACCTGATTACGTTAAACGTTACATAGGTCAAGAGTTTGGTTGTATTGGGAACAGGGCCGTATTTAGATAGGGACAATATCAATAGTATTAATTGTGATCGTGGGGACTTGGAGGTTTAAGATGCCTGCATCTCAAATGAGGGCGCGATGTGTACCAATGTGACTATTTCCGAGTTACATGTACTTTCTAAGATTATTTAGACACCACTGACAGACGGTGAAGGGAAGCTTATTATTTCTTATTATAAGTTTATATTCGCCAATCCGTATTGAAACACACTCATTAACAGGATGGTAGAAGTCAAATATTTAATAGGTAATTATAATTTACCTACTATTTACCTACTTACTTTGATTCCTTCGTATCATATACAGCTCAAGAGAAAATTTGAATTACTTAGATTTTTTTCTGTCAGCTGGATTGATAATAATCAATCATGTCTATTTTCGACTAATACAGTAAACGGTGTGGTAGGTTATTATTTAGAAAACTTTTATCTTCGATCAACAATAGCAACTAGATAAAGGGTTACGTACAAAATCAAGCTCCAGTTCTGTCCGTGTGAATAATAATAGTAAAAAAATAACAAACTGAGAAAAATGTTTTAAAATGGTTTTAAGTTCAACCTAATAACAACTATGGCACCTAATAATAAAGTCATAAATCGTCAAAATATTATCTAATACTTACGACCATTCGTCACATAAGACGAGAAAAGCATTTTCTTACTCCTGTCACGTAGAAATTAAAAGACATAAGTTATAAAATATCTATTTTGAATTCAACCTTAAAATAAAACAAATAATGATATTTTTTCCGTTATTGCCTTGTGATCTATATCGTTTTGTTTTGTTTCGTTTTGCTTCTTCGAATTTTGAATTTCGCTACAGGAGTTATGTATGGAGTCGTGTTGAACACTAAAATAATTTTATTTTTGGGGATCTTAGTATACATCACTTATTTTTATTAGCGGTACGTTTTTGTGTATCATATGTATATTAACTTTGTCATTAAAAGTCTAAGTCAAAATCATTTATTTCAGTTAGACCAGGAAGGCACTTTTGAACGTCAACAATATAAATTTAAAAGTGAAGCTATTTGCTCATTCCAAGGTGTAGATTCCTATGGAGAAGAACGAGCAAGAAACTCCATAGGTTAAGTACTCTTTTCCAATCAGGTTACAATACAAATTTGTTTTAAAATACAAATCGACTCCATGCATCCACTGTTCTGTTTAAACAAATGTTTGTGCGCGTGTTGGCGAGGCTTGGCCAAGGGATCGCCAACACACGTACAAACATTGGTGGCGTTGGTTTATAATTGGTAATTTTGTCTAATTTGATATTATTTACTAATTTAAAAGCTTAAAATATAACTTATACTTTATTTACTTATAAAGTAAGACACTCCGGCCGTTATACTGCTTTTTCGGTTATTATTTTTGCAACTTGCAATTACGCACTGCAGCATCGTGAGACGTGATTACGTTGGCCATGTTTGGAGCATACTAAACAAAATAAGAGCTCACTTTTCAAGTGAGCTCTTATTTGTCGAGACGATTTTCTTGCGCCGACCCGATATCTAGTTGTTATTGTTGATCGAAGACTTTTATTTATAAGTAAATAGAAATGTGTAAGTTATTCCTAAATCTGCGCCTGTATTACACGGCTTTCAAACTATGTCCCAACGCGACGTCTTTGCACTCGTGAGAAGAGAATATCTTACAAATAAATTGAATACATCGCCATTACATCGCTGCCGCTGTCTAGATCGATGTATCGATACTAGTCGATACCTAACAAATTGTATGTAATCGAGTATTTATTCAATTGCAAACTTATGTTGAGTTTTCCTGGGCCTCTAGCCAAAAGCCACTTTAGCGCTTGTCTACAGTGAGAGTAGAAATCAAAATGTATGGGGATGACACTGACAAGTGTCAAAATTTACGTCAATTCCATATAATTTGGTTTTCTATTCTACATGTAGACAAGCGCTAAATGGCATTTGGCTACAGCTGCTGGTTACTGATGGGTACAAAATTTATTTGTCCACTTTTCGTTTCGATTTAAGTAATTGGTTAGGTATAAATTTTCTTTCCTGATGGTAAGCAATTGGCATCGCCCATGGACACCTGGAACACCAGAGGCGTTGCAATTGCGTTACCGGCCTCTTGGGAATTAGGAGTTTGAGGATCGTTGGGTATTCAGGAATTGAGGAGATTGGGGAAGGGGACGGTAATTGGGCCTCCGGTAACCTCACTCACACGACGAAACACAACGCAAGCGTTGCTTCACGTCGGTTTTCTGTGAGGCCGTGGTATCACTCCGGTCGACTTGGCCCATTCGTGCCGAAGGATGGCTCTCCCACACTTAAAACACACATTTTTGACGAAAGTTATATTTTTCGGCTTTTGAATTTTAACCTAAATAAACTGATAGTTCTGTTCTTGTTGTCTATACGATATCCTTGCAAGTAAAAACACAAACATCCTCTAATATTGGACGAAATCTCTTTCCAGACATATTTTCTCAGAAAACGCCGCTCCAGCCGCCAACAGCGAGCGACCCCACTCCATACAACATCAACGCCTACCACGCAAGCAACTTCTCAAAATTCGGTTTCCATGGTTACTCCCCAAACGGTTACTGGAACCCGACCAGGAGTTTTGGAGATTATGACAAAAAGGTCCTAAGACAGGGTCCGTTCACTCAGAATTTCTTTGAACCGACTAATTTTTATCCGAACTATGAGAGCAATGAATGGTTTCGTCCGTCATCTTCTGGAGTGTCGCAGTACAATCCTAATGAGTGGTGGAAGTGAGTATGATTTTTGTTATAGTATAAAGTCTATCTTGTTTTTTACGTTTCTCTCGTACGCATAGCAATTTTTGATTCACAAACATAACATAACATCACACCTTTTATCCCCGAAGGGGAAGGCAGATGCCACTGTACAATGGAATACCCACTTTTCACTATTTATGTTATGAGTCCCATGTAATAGAGGGGTGAGCCTATTGCCATATACCGAACATAATTCCAGACTCCGTGCTACTACTGATTTTTTTTAAAAACCCAGTAATACTTTGCCCGACCCAGGAATCGAACCCGAGACCCCTTGCCCGGCAGTCGCACTTGCGACCACTCGGCCAACGAGGCAGTCTATGATTCCTAATTTCGTTATTGTTCTTCATTTCATTATCCTTTAAACAATGCATAATCCGTTTACGATCTTTACCTACGTAAAAAAAAATTTTTTCGTGTAGGGAAATCATCCAATGACTTTTCCCACCATGGGTTAGGCCAGACGGAGTGTCAGACTCTTACTGACTAAAAACCACCTCTGCTCTTCGAGCCGGAGCCCTGGCAACCCGTTAGGCTTGCCGCGGCTCCGTATCGGGCATAAGCCCTATTGGGCCCCATCTGTGATGGTCTGATGGCTCTTTGAGTCGCGCGCGGATCGCGACACGCCGTACGATCGGGTCTGGTTCTGGTAAGGCGGCGAGCTACCCTAGTGCACCGTCCGCAGACCAGCACTTACGGTGGCCGGAGATCGTCGTCGTGCGATCTCCAACACCCGGAATGTCTCCCGCGACGGCCGGGGGCGTGAGGAGGTTTATTCCCTCACGCGCCCCGCCTCCTTCTTGGCTAGCATGATTGCTTTACGTAAAAATACATTGGGAGTTCTTTTTGGATTATATAAGAAAGTTTTTGGAACCATTGTTGAGTTTGGAACTAGAAAAAAATTCACATTAAAAATAAAAATACTTTTTTTACAATTTTGCATTGGCAAAAACAAATCATTTACATGTCTGTCTAAAGAAAAGTAGTTAATTTCTTTCCTCAGTTTAAATGAACGTCTCATTAACAATGATTTATGATATCTCCGCAAAGTTCCTTATTCAAACGAGAAATATTATCGTGGGAAAGACCATAAATAAAGACGTCTATAATCTTTAATGCCTATCTATAATTCTGAAATCATAGACATTTTTACAAACTTTTTTCTCTATGATCGATGTTAGAGAAACTACTTGCATTTTATTATGACGATGTTCATGTTTTACTAATTATGTATTCCATCAGTCAGTGTCGGGCTTAGCCCTGCGTACGCGCCGACTTTAGAGAGTTCCAAAATCCAATGAATAATAACGATGGACATTTACAATTTTAATTATTTGAATTTTTATTTTGAGATTTTTATAACATTGGTTGGTTACCTTCTAGCAGCTATTTTGATTTCATGTGATATGACCAAAAGTCTGATTTGTGATCGTCCTAGCTTAGTTTGATTTTTACTAAATCCTACTTTTACTTAATTTATTATTCTTTTACCTATATCTAATTAGTGATTAGTCAAAGTCAAAGTCAAAAATCATTTATTTCAATTAGACCAGGAAGGCACTTTTGAACGTCAGCAACAGAAATTTAAAAATGAAGCTATTTGCTTGCTCATTCCAAGGTGTAGATTCCTATGGAGAAGAACGAGCAAGAAACTCCATAGGTTACTCTTTTCCAATCAGTTTCACAATACACACAATTAGTGATGAGTATTATGTTCTCATACAATTTAGAAAAACTATTTTAACCCACTTTTCCACCTACATACTTGAAATCTCGATAAAAGAGGAACAGAAAATGAAATTCTAACATTTTAACTGTAACCTACAGATACATGTCTCCATCCCGCTCAGACGTGACCGTAGAGAGATCGGTGACGTTTCCCACTCGCACGTCAACGGTACGCAGACGCAAGAGGAACGCTGAGTTGGTGAAGGCGGCTGAAAAACGAACTTTAACTGGAGCTGAAGCGTTGAGGATAGCTTTAGGACTTGCTAAGTGAGTTTGTTTATTTCTTTGGTAGAGTACAATACATTTGTGACTAGTCCTATTCTTCCCGCGGGTGTATGAGAGCCGACTTAGAGACGGTTAGCAGTATTTTCTGATATAATGCTTTGAACTATAATCTCCAAGTTCTCCAAAGCACCTGCCTAAGTTATGTTCTTTTTAGGTTGGAATCAAATTCATTAATGACTGTTGTTTGAAAACCTTTGTGAAGTTTGTCTTTTTTTAATAGGTATTAATATATTGTTAACAAGTCCTATGATATAAGTTTTTTATAACAAACACAAATTATGTTTCTTCACAGTGAAGATTCTTCGGCAGAACGCCGCCGGCGACAAGCAGCAACACCAACCACACAGACTCTATGCTCAGTCCGAACTGAATTCATACCTATTAGGGCGGCCCTCAATAACAAAGGCAACTGGAAATATGTCGTTAACATGCCCGATAACATGTCACAACTTGTACGAGCTGAGGTTTGCACGTAAGTTCATTTGACTTATTTAAGTACAGCGCCATCTATCCTGCACATTTAGAAATACTGTAACTGCGCCTCTGTTGCCGAGTAGCTAAAACAAATGTTTTATACTTTGTAATTTATATTCAGTTCTTAATGATTTTGGTAACAATTTTATTACAGATCTACGTCATGCAGTGGATTATGCACAGTGCCACCTGGATATACTTCACGGTGCGAGCAAAAATATATTCAAAAACGTTTGGTCGCTCTTCAGTCAAGTGGACAAAATCTTTACACGGACGTATTTTGGATACCGAGCTGTTGCCAATGCACGTTTACCGCTACTTCAAATTGAGCACAAACTGAACACAAATGTGATTTATTATTAAAACTAAACTTTTAGTTGAAAGTTTTGCTACTTGCTGCTAGATGGCACTACTAATAGATTTTATATTCGCGAATTTGTAAGATATTACAAATAGTTACTGCCTTTTTGCATGACATAGATATATTTAATAGTATTTTAAAGAAATGAAGCATTTTATTTCCATTCTTTTAATCTTAAAAGCAGAGTATTAGAAGTTACCTAAAATAAGTAGATTTAAATAAGTAAAGTATTAATTTTGAAGTATGAAATAAATGGTTTGTAAATATTAGTTAAATGTATTGTGCTGGTAAGATATTTTGTATAATGTATTAGAGGAATTATATTAATTTTATATGAATATTATTGCCCATATTATTGCTTAATATTTGAAACACCTATAATGTATATTTTTGTATTATATTTTGCATTTATGATTTAAATAAATAAAAATTACTTAAGTTGTTTTGTAGTACAGTTAACGGCATTTATACTACATTTGGTTTTGCGTGAATTCAATCAAAATGATTTTGTCCATTGGCAGCATTGATCACTACAGCAGTTGATTCGTATCTGTTGGTTTGGCCCTTATCTTGTTATTTTTTATATACGAGTAGACGGGTCACCTGATGGTAAGCAATCGTCGTCGCCCATGGACACCCGAAACACCAGAGGTTTTACAAGTGCGTTACCGGCCTTTTAGGGATTAGGAATTTGAGGATTGTTGGGGATTCGGAGATTGGGGAGCACCTTCCTTTATTTGTATGGCCTTCGGTAACCTCACTCACGCGACGAAATACAACACAAATGTTGTTTCACGTCGGTTTTCTGCTCGGCCGTGGTATCACTCCGGTCGAGCCGGCCCATTTGTGCCGAAGCACGGCTCTTCTACAGATTTTATTAAAATCATATTCCAAATCCTAACACTTTGCCTTTAAATGCGAAAGAAAATGAAGCTATAAAAGTATTTCTAAATACCTATAATTCACATATATTTATTTAAAATTTTCTACAAATTACATTTTTAAAGACTACTTATAAAATAAGAAATAATTATATTTATAATTGTAATTATAAATACGACATTACGTAATATATAAATATTTATTTACAAGAAATGATTAATTTTTATAATGATTTTATTGCAACCGAACATAGGTCATCATGATTGTATGAATTCGCCTGAGGGGATGGGCAGATGTGTTAGCTTATGTACTTTATATTATATACTAGCTGTAGCTCGCGGCTTGTCTGCGTGGGCACTGGAATCTCTAAGGGCCGTAGTCACTAACCATTCCTAAACAACCTCTTAACTAAAAGTTACTTAGCGTTACGTAGCACCTAAACAAACCCCTTTCTTGTACTGTTAGATGTCACTATAGGTTAATTTTAAATATCACCTGTCTTCGCTTAGGGGTTACTTAAAATGTTATTAGTTTCATATTTTAAGGACCCTAACCTCCCTTGTATTCTGATGTAAACTGATCAAAAGTATCTGAAGTATTATGAAAATGTGCTTCTCTGTCTACCCCTTTGGGGATCAAAAAGGAATCTGTTATAATATGAAATATGTATCTATCTATGCTTTAAGAATTAACTAGATAATAATATTTTGTGCTACGTGTAAATGAATGTTTTGATTAAATAAATTATTCTTCTATTTTGTACATTGCACTTTTTGTATAAGATAATAAAAATAAATACAATAATATTAAGTGTTTTTATTCTTTCCTTATATATCAAAAGTTCAATACTTAACAACATTATCTACATCTACACTAATGGTATAAAAAGGAAAAATATTGAATTTTTTTTTATTTGTTTGAATTGAATATTCTCCGAAACTGCCGGACTGATTTGAAAAATTATTTTACCGTTAGAATACTACAATATCAATGATGAACATAGGCTGTATTTAATAAAAGAGAAAACACGGAACCATGTGAAAATTTAAATAATGTAATTCAATATAAGTTGTACTTGCCTGACACAACTACTTCTATGAACTAAACTATAACGATGTTAAACATTTGCTTAAGTTTTTTAGTTTAGAAGCTACATAGCTACACTGACTAAAAATTTATTTTGACTGTTCAAAATGTGGTTTACCTACTTGTATATAAGACACAATAGGCAACACATTATGTCTAGCGTAGGTCTAAGCTCGGCAAAATACAGGTTAAATTCATTTATTTACAAAAAAACAAATTTTGAGAGCCATGCTTCGGCACGAATGGGCCGGCTCGACCGGAGTGATACCACGGCCTCACAGAAAACCGACGAGAAGCAACGCTTGCGTTGTGTTTCGTCGTGTGAGTGGGATCACCGGACGCCCAATTACCTCTCCTATACCCTTCCCCAATCTCCCCAATTCCTGAAACCCCAACAATCTTCAAATTCCTAACCCCAAAAGAAGATTCTGGTGACCCAGATGTCCATGGGCGATGCCGATTGCTTACCATCAGGTCATCCGGCTGCTCGTTTACCGACTTCTCACAAAACAAAATTGACAACAACAAAATGCGTCAATAGTCTATCATTAGTGGGTACTATCTACATACAGTGCGTGATACTACATCTGCACACAGTTATATAGATTATTATGTTTTTCCGTTTACTCACGTTACTGTTTGACAAGGAACTCTACTAGTTTCAAGCCATGCTAGGGGCTCATATTCATGAGCGGCAATCCGCGACACATGACGTGGCGAATGTCGCGCTGCTACTAATACATACATTAAAACTTAAATAACATAAGTAAGTATATAATACAAATATGTATATAGATTATTAAAATTATGCGTTAAACGTCAAAACACAAGGCAGAATCCCTATATAGGGTTAATCCGGTTTCGCATTAAAGGTTACCGAAAACCCCATCGCTTATCGACACCGATAATGTAATGCGTCCGTGTGGAGTAGAGGCTTTGCCCCGGACCCAGGATGCAACAGGTTTCGGGGCTTCAACTTTTGAAGTCTGAATATTCGAGATGAGTTCGTAAAAATGTTGATTTAATGCTTGCGCCAATGTAAACAAAACAATTAATGATTGAATAGGAATGAAAACAAATTACTAACAGTATAAAACAAAGTCGCTATCCGCCGTCTGTCTGTCCCTATGTATGCTTAGATCTTTAAAACTACGCAACGGATTTTGATGCGGCTTTTTAATAGATAGAGTGATTCTTGAGGAAGGTTTATATGTATAATACATGCATACTGCACCCGTGCGAAGCCGGGGCGGTCGCTAGTAAAAAAACAACTGAAAATCTGTTGAAGTGATTTGGTTGCCAATACAACGAGGTGTTAAATGGCTACGGCAAATCGTTAATTTGAAGTGGACTGAATATATTATTACATACATTGTCATCATTCCTAATGCGCTAATTTACAACTAATCAAATTCAATACTTTTATCGAAACGTCAAAAACGATATTGTTCAATGAATTTTGTACCAAAACTAACTTATGACGTCATCCTGTTTTCAAATCAAACAGCACACTTTTTTCTGAAAAAAAATCCAAAACAAACCGAAAATTAAGTATATCGTCAAATACATACCTATATGAATGAAATTGTAATTATTTTTGAATATTTAATTGGATTGAAAAATCAAAACAATTTATTTTTGACCAGGAAAATACCCAATTGCATATTACATTCGCTTATTGCTTATCATTGTAATTCATTCCTTATGACAGTGTGTGTATGTGTGTGAGTGTGTGTGTGACGTGACGGTGAAAAAATGCTACGTCACGGCTGTTTTACTATTGGGGTAGGTAAAGCTCTATTTGTAATCTACTTTCTAAGGGTAATTTTATTTATTATATATGGAAAATAAGGGTTACTTCTTACTTCAAATTGGTACCTACTAATTGCAATCGTCTTACGATTTGGTATATAAAATTAAGATACACTGTTGAGTGTCACCTAACGCCTACGTCCTACATATTCCAATGTAACTAGATTTTGCACCAATCCAATTAGACACTAATTTGCAATTTGTATACGCTCGTCGAACTATTGACTCACCAGGGAAGATGACGCATATATCACAGCTAAAACATTCAATAAATATCGAAAAATATCATCCATTGCCAAAATTGAATAACATTCAATCCACATCAATACATAGTATAAAACAAAGTCGGTTTCGCTGTATGTCCGTATGTATGCTTAGATCTTTAAAACTACGCAACGGATTTTGACGCGGTTTTTTTTAATAGATAGAGTGATTCTTAAGGAAGGTTTGTATGTATAATAAATGCATATTGCACCCGTGCGAAGCCGGGGCGGGTCGCTAGTAAAAGATAAATAACAAAAAAACATTACGTTTTCTGCCATATTTTTTGATTAAGACGCATTTTTCGCGGTTCCACCATGTCTAACATATTTTTCCTTCTATTGAGTTAACGAGAGATTGAGGGGTAAAATCGCCATATCTGTTAGGGGTTGTATTCAACCCTTGGACCGCCACCCCCGGGGTACTGAGCCTACCTTAACAAATTTTCTCTTAAGCTTAACTCTATGTACTTTATCAAGGAAAGGAAATTCTTTGAAGTTACTCCTTAACTTGATTAGAGGAAATTTGCAGAAAAAATATACCTAAGTATATCTTTATGTTTTGATACGCCATTTTGTTTCTAATTATCGCTGATTTTGCGAGGTAACGTGGTTGGTAGATTTATTTTTTAGGCTTTTTTAAGTGTACAGATTTTTGTATATGTAGGAAAGTTACTACAACACGCGTTACTATAATAGTCATTAGTTAAATGCCAGTAGAGAGTTACAATTGATACCTAATATATTGGAATATTTTTAAAAGTCGATGCCAACTAGGAACTCGATTTAAATTTTGTCTATTTACCAAATACTATTCAATTAATTTGTCTACATAAAGTCGCAAAAATAACTTAATTAGGTACGTACCAGCACCAATGACACAAAACTAAAGGTACCTTATATCAAAGTACGACACTATAAATTGAAA